TTAGTTTTTTCTTATCAGTTGTGTACACTAGGGTTTAATCTTACATCTAATGTTGTTAAATGAATGTTTATTGCATTATTTCAGTATCATGTGTGTCACCGTGATGGGGTTTAGTGTTGGTGTGAATGACACTGTGCACATTCTATATATAAGTATTGTCCTCCTCAGGTCGCAGACAAGCTGTTTGTGATGAGCTTTGGTTCATCATGTGACTTTCTCATCACCACCAGTTTTTGGTGGTTATCAGTGCATTACAATGGTTCAAAACAGATATTAGTATATTAACATGTTGGTTTATTAACATTGCATCAGTTAATGAAATACAGTATTTTATTGTGAATTTAAGTCAAGTCTGTAAAACCTAAAATGTTGCTACCATATTTTTTACTGTGAAGTTCTCGCAACCACAGCTGCCGGTATTTTACCGTAAATGTTTTTTACAGTATACATTACAGATAATACTGTACTAATACACACACACACACACACACACACACACACACATATATATATATATATATATATATAATAAAAACTTCACAAGACATTTAAAATAACCTAGTGAAGAATATATATAATATTTTTCACTATAGGTTATTTTAAATGTCTTGTGAAGTTTTTAGTAAACGTAGTTAAAATGACACCATTAAAACTACTAAGACAATAACTCAGAAAATACATTTTTTATATGATTGATATAACAATTTTGTTTTAGATCAATTATAGTCAGAAATAAGGTTCCTAATCTGGCTTTTGAACTCATGCTCATATTTTGTGGTGCATTCTGGCACAATGTGACTAAATTGTCCATCATTACTGAAGTGTTGCATCAGAACAAAACTTCAGATCCTTTCTCATCCACATTGATGCCACGTGTTAGTTTTTGTGTTTTTAGATTTAAAGCTGAAGTTATCCTGATATCTTATGTTAGTCACTGAACGAACACTCGACGTCGGTTCGGACTTGTTGCTGGTTTTACAGCAGATTCTGAGATGAACTGATATTCAGGAATAATTACACAAGAGATCAGGAACCAGTTTAATAAATACACACACACACACACACACACACGTTATCTAGATGGGAATGTGATCTTTGTACTTTAAACACAGTCTGTCTCCAAGTTGTAAAACAGCGCAGGCGGAAATAAGTTTCTTCACACACAAGGTCTATTTCAGGCTGCTTTCATGATGGAGGATTGCACAAATGTGTGTTTTAGGACGCTCTGATGTGTGCGCGCTGAATGCATGGGACGAGCTTTGATATTCAGATCAGATTCACACACCTGCACGTCAGATTCACTGCTGATGGTGACGCGAGATTCTAGAGTCCATCTGCATGAGACTGGAGCGTCTGTTATGATACTGTGAGATTATGAGCTGTGATTATGATCATATGAACCTAGAGGAAAATGATATTACTCCGATGTTGCTCTTTCAAAGCTCAGGATCTCAGTTATGAATAATGTAAGCATCATATTTGTAGGGCCCTATAAAATCCATTTTATAAATTTTTTTCGAAATTCCGTGTTTTCAGTTTCAATTGATCTGGATTCTGTTTTAATGGTTTAATTCCTTTTTCATTCAATAAACAGCATGTCTAATCAATTTAATTCTTAAAACTTAATTTAATCAGTCTTTTAAAATGTAATCAAATGGAAATATAGTGATTTAATTTACAATAAAACATTGCACTTTTATTTTTATTTTTTTCAAAAAAAGTGCAGAAGAACAGAACTATATTGTATAAATTAAAACTTGGATGTTAAAATATCTGGGTTATGATATTCCTTATAATATTAACAACAACAGTACTACTACTAATAATATATTCTTATTAATAATTAGGATTATTATAAATATATTATTATTATCTCAAATCAATGTTGTTGTTATTATTATTACTTCAAGGAGTACATTTTAATGTAAAATAGTAATATATTTCTATGAATTTCTTCAAGTTAATTAAACTTTTATTTTGGCGTACTCTCAATGATTTTTGAGTTTCAGTGAGTTTTTGACATGCAGATTTTTTTATTATCATTTTTTCCGAATGAAATGGTGAAATGTTCATTAAATGTTTTCAGAGCAGAGATCCCACTTGTGATTTTTCAGTTCTATGTGGAGTTATTCAGACCACAGCTCAGGAGGAGTTGACAACATATGTTGACATTTGGATGGTGACAATGTAATGTTTCTGAGTTTAGCCTCACACACACACACACACACACACACACACACACACACACACACACGTCAGCGCTCATTTCTCTGTGTTCAGCAGGACTGTCAGGCTCTGAGCTGGTGGACGTGAATCAAGCAGCTTTTCTCCTTGTTGCTGTCAGGAGAGTGAAACATGTAAATATAGTATGTGTCAGACTCTGTCCTGTGTTTTGTGTGTGTTTTTCGGTGACCCAGTTTCTGTCTCCCGCATATTCTGTTAATTTCATCCCAGGTGTTTCCCATGTTTAATTTCCTATGATTCCTGGTGTGTCTCCTTAGTCCCTCGTCATCCTGTGTTTAAAAGTCTGAGACCTTTCAGTTAGTGTTGTCCGGTATTGTTTGATTCCCTGCTGTTGAAATAAACTCATTGGTTTGTACTCCTGGTCTCCTGGTTTCCTCGTTCCGTGCTCCTCACAGTAGCAAACTTGTGACAGTATGAATATGTCAGATATGTGTTATTCATCCATTGTGTTTTCTGTCCTTGATCCCAGGGGCTGTTTAAAACATTTAATTCAGTTGCATCTTTCAGATCATAAATACCCCGTCTATAGTTAAACACCTCTTACATGCAGTATTATTTTTATTTATCATTGAGATACTATTATAGTTTTTATCATTTTAATTAGTATACATTTTTATATTTCCCATTTTAATAAATTTTTTTTTTTTGTCTTTTTAAGTACTTTTTAAGAGCATGTCTATATAGTTTTTATTAAAAAAAATTTTTTTTACTTTTTTTAGTACATCAAGTTAAATCAAATTAAAAAACAAAATGTTGCCTTGGCAAATAGCTGGAATAAAAAAAGTTAGATTTTTCTTTTCAGTTAATGTTTATTTTATTCAAAATAATGTTTTAATTTGTTTACTATAATAACCATGCTTACAGATCACATTTCACACCAAAATCAAAATTAAAAAAATAGAATTCATAAATTAAAGAAAAGCAACTTTTTTAGGAATGTTAAGGTGCATTGTGGCTTTATTTGCACTAAAGCTCATTTCCACAGCAAATTTATGGTAATGCATCCAGATGTTTTACTGTTTTTTGTAAGTATCAATATTTTCTATAATATTATAATATAATATTCTATAATACAATTTTTTTTAATTTAGATAACCATAATTAAACTATGTATTACAGGTGCTATGTACAACAACAGCTATTATTATAAGTATTTTTAAATATATTCAAGTAGTTTATAACTTTTGCATCACAATAATGATCATTT